GTTAATTTTGTGAATTCATTCCTTGTATCATCTCCCAAACCCAAACAAGCCTCAGGAGGACAAAGGTTCCTCCCGGTCTCCTCCATGGAACTCTGTGGAAGTGGACAAAATTAAGGATTTCACTGTTTTTCCTGCTTAGAATTAAATTCCGGTGGAATTTGTGATTCCGATGAACCCATGAGCCACTCTCCAGGTATTCAGTTCATACCAAGAGGAGCTGGCTTGGTGATTCCTGATGTAATTCCAAGGAAGTGACAGGAATAATGCCGCGTGTTAATCTCCCCCCAATTCGTCACAAGATGAAAGAATTCTCTATAATCTCAGGTGATGCTTAGATCGTTATTACAAACAAATTTGAAAGGCCTCATAAAAGCCAATAATGAAACCAACAATTTCATCATCCTGATGGTTGCATGAATTTGAAATTGGGGCGGGCAAGAGATGCTGATCTGGTACCTCCAGCTGATATAAAAGCTCCCGTCTCTCCTCGCTCCTCCAAACGCTTCCCTTGACTTCTTGGAGACTTGGGTAAGTCTGAATCTTCTCCATTGCTCTTGGTGTATTTTTTATTGTTGGTTTCAACTTGAGTTGATGTCCAACGTCCTTTCTGTTGGGTGCATCTGCATGGGCTTGGGGAAGATCAAGGACCTTTCTGTCTTTTTGGTGTGTGGAGTTCTTGGTGTCAGGAACTGCGGACCTTGGAGCAACTGGACAGTGCTCGGGGTCAACTGAGTTTCCTGGATCCCCTCCCATATGGAGCCAGGCTGGGAGAGCTGGGAATGTTCAGCCAGGAGGAATGGAGGTTGTGTGGAGACCTCAGGATGTGCTGGGGTTCCAGGGAAGCTGGAGAGGGACTTTCCTCAGGAGCTGCAGGGACAGGACATGGGGAATGGGGTCAGACTGAGAGGGGAAATTCAGGTTGGATATTGGGAAGAAATATTTCCCTGTGACGGTGGGGAGGCCCTCACACTGGATACTCCATGGATTCTCCATCCCCAGGAGTGTCCAAAGTCAGTTGGGACGGGGCTTGAAGCAACCTGGGATAGTGGGAGGTGTCCCTGCCCATGGAGGGGGTGGGACTGGATGATCTTAAGGGTCTCTTCCAAACCAGGCAATTCCAAGCTTCTCTGTTTAGCTCTAAATAACCTGCAAAGAGCAGGGAGTTGGACTTGAGCCTTTTGAGTCGCTTCCAGCTTGAGGAAGCCTGGGATTCTCTGATCCTCATTTTGATACGTTTAACCCATCTCAACATTTGCATAAAAGGTTCAGGGTTTGACAAGGGTGCCACCCCTGCAGCCGTTCACACGTGATAAAGCCATTTGTGTCTTGCTACCACAAGTCCTTAGGCTCTCCTTCACCTTCTCGCTTTCAAGTCTCTCCTCAGAACTCTGTTGAGGATTTACAGAACATCCTTGGAGATTTGTTCTTTATTGTCTTGTCAAATGCCTTTCTGGGAAAGCCAGGTGCTCACAATCCTATAATCTTTTGTTCCCTTGACTCTCAGCAAAATTGGGATGAGTGGGAAGATGAAGCTACTGTAATTAAGTTCTCTATAAGCTCCATCTCATGCAAACCTGCTGAACCCAAATCTCAGTTTTCCTAATGACTCATCCAATGACCTTGGACAAAGTCACTTTTCTCTCGCTGCCTTTGCTTCCCAGGTTTCAGTTTAATGTGGAGGAATCATTCATAGATGTCTGCAGGATGTTACAAGGGACAAGGCTTTTAGGACATTCCCCACTTGCTCTTGTGTGTGGACACCCTTTAGAGAATTTTTGAAAAAAAAACCCTTTTTGAGAAAAAGACAGCACTGAGATTGCGAAGTTCTCAGAACACTCCACTTGTTATTTTAATTTAAATTGCTGAATTTTGAACTCCTTGCCTTCTTTTAGCCCGTGTTGACCTCCAACCCCTTACAAGATGGCCTGCTACGACCTGTACCCCTCGGCTGCCTGCGGCGCCCTCCGGCCCCAGCCCCTGGCTGACAGCGGGAACGAGCCGTGCGTCCGCCAGTGCCCCGACTCCACCACCGTGATCCAGCCTCCCGCCGTGGTGGTCACCTTCCCCGGGCCCATCCTCAGCTCCTTCCCGCAGGATTCCGTGGTGGGATCTGCTGGAGCTCCCGTCCTTGCAGCCTCCGGGGCCTCCCTGGGCTATGGGGGCTACGGCTCCCTGGGCTATGGGGGTCTCTATGGATATGGGGGTTACGGATCCCTGGGCTACGGGGGTCTCTATGGCTATGGGGGTTATGGATCCCTGGGCTACGGGGGCCTGTGGGGCTATGGGGGCCTGGGGTCCTGTGGGGGCTACCGGGGCCTGTATGGCTCTGGCAGAGGCTTTGGCTCCGGCTATTGCAGCCCCTACTCCTCCTGGTATGGCCGCTACGGCCGCGGCTACTGGGGCTCCTGCTAAACCCTACGGAAGCATCCCGGAGAAGGAATCGCCGGCAATGGAGAGATGCAATCCTGGCCCCAGAGGAGGTGTTGTGACCATGGCCACCCCACTCCAGTGGAGCTGGAAGCACACAACTCCTCTTTGATTTGTTCACCTTCTACTTGTTGTCTTCTGGGCTTTTTTCTTGACTCTGTGTGTGCAATATGTGGGATGAAACAATAGTTTATCTTCTTCTAAAATGCAACTTCACTGTCCAACTGGAGAAGAGCAACCCCGGAAGGAGTTGCCTGTGACCTGATATTCTTCATACTCTGCAATGCTTTCCTGTGAATGCTTTTTTTCTCATTAAAGTGATTCTGTTCTGCAAAAATACAAATGAAGTTTTAGTTTCAATTTCTCTGGCTGCGGGTTTGCAACACTTCTCTCTGTAGAGGGGGGGCAGGGGGTGAATACAAATCCTCAGAATACGCTGAGGTTCAGACTTCAAGACCACCTGGAATGTCTCAGCTGGGAGTGAAGCCAGCTGCCTGTTCCTTGATCCAGAATTTGGGAGCAGGAATAATAACATTACAGAGTCATGGACTCGTGGAATGGTTTGGATTGAAAGAACCCCAAAGATCTTCTCCTTCCACCCCCTACCATGGGCAGAGACCCCTCCTGCTAGACCAGGTTGCTCCAGCCTGGCATTGGACACTTCCAGGGATGGGGCAACCAGAGATTCCCAGGAAAACCTGGGCCAGGACCTATCCACCATCACAGGGAAAGACTTCTTCCCAATATCCACCCTAAATTTGCCCTCTGTCAGTTTGAATCCATTCTCCCTTGTCCTGTCACTCCAGTTCCCAATGAAAAATCCCTCTCCAGCTTCCCTGTAGATCCTGGAAGGTGGAATGTCACCAGAGCAAGAAGAAGGCTGGATTTGCTCACAGGTTAAGGCATTTTCTGCCTTTTAATTTTTCCAGGAATCATTTTCCAAGCTCTCTCTGCTCTGGCTTTTCTTGCTGGAGTGAATGAATCCTTGAAGGAGATGTTTTTCTGTCAAAAGCCATCCAACACCTTAGATTTCATGATTATTCAGAAAGATTTCAGATTTCAAAGCTCCACTCTGTGGCCCAGAAAACTTTATTTAAAGATTTGACAGGAAATTGATTTAACTTTTTGCCAAGGCTGTTCCTGAGGACAGAGTTTAAATATTTGACTGAGGAAATCTTTGAGTCAGAACACAAAGCTCAAAGAGATTAAAGCTTTACCTGGAAGAAATTCATACGGAAATTTAATTTTCCCTGGTTTTTTTGGGCAGGACATTTATCTCCATGGTGTGGGGACAGATTGGATGAAGCTCTGAGCCACGTGGGCCAGTGGGAGGTGTCCCTGCCCGTGGCAGGGTGTGGAATGAGATGAGCTTTAAGATCCCTCCCAGCCCAAACTGTTGGAAAGGATGAAAGTTTGACAAGAAAGTCTCACAGATACGTGTGCTTGGCAGAAAGATTTTTGAATCTAGAATCTGAAGAAGGAATGGAGATGGAAGCAAGTTTTGATATAGATAAAAAGAATTGCTGAGCCAGTCTCGCTGGATAACCAAGGTGGCAGAGGGTGTGTTAGTTAGAAGGGGTTTTATGACTTGGAACAAAGGATAAACCCACTCCAAACAAGAAGATGTTTTTACCAAGCAGAGAGCACAGGCAAACAGGGCAGCAGATGTTGTAAGTAGAAAAAAGGTCTCAGAACTTTCCACTGCAAGAAAACCGAAAAACAACTTCTAGCTTAAACTGTAATGTACTGACTTTGAGTGATTGGAGGACAGCAACATGAATATGGTAATTACAGCAGTTATGATAGGCTGCAGATAATAGTTAAGGTATAGGTTGGTTCTGCTGTATTAAGACGCTCAGCAAAGAAGAGTATATAATGCAATGTAACCAAAACTAATGCATTATAAAATATATAATGCAATGCAACCAAAACTAAAGGGTCTCCAGACCTGCCTGCAGCTGGAGCTGACAGCGGTAGGCACAGCTCTGTCACCCATGGGCTACCCTAATGTCTTAGATGTAATAAACTGCATTTTGGAGAGCTGCCTGGAGTCCCGCATCCCTATTTTCGACTCTTACACCAAACATTCCATGATTCCAGGATATTTTAGGCTGTTACTGACACCTGCACAGGCGAGGCTTCTCCAAAGGCAAATAACAATGGTGAAAATGGGAGAAAAGACCACCAGAACATGGCAACTTTGATTCAATAAACTTTTATTGAAAGCAAGCAAAGCAATGCATTCGCAGAGTCTCCAAGAAGCAAGAAGCTCTTCTCCAGCCAGAGGCAAATTCACATGTGATTGTTTGGGACTCTCTTCCAAATCCCAGCTGTTGATGTGAGCAAACAGGACCCATTTTGAGCCCTTTTGTTCCATATTTACCCCAGGCAACACAGAAATGGGGCAGGAGAAGCATTATGGCAGAAGCTGAAAGAGGAGAAATCCAAAAGGGGCTGAACAGCTACAAATTCGTGGTGTTGAGATGGAGCAGCAGTAGTTCCAAGCTCTTTGGTTGTGAAACCATCACATTTCATCTGTTGGCGAGACCTCTCTTGGGATTTTCCCCTCGGGTTTAGCAGGAGCCGCAGCTGCCGCGGCGGTAGCGGCCGAAGCGGGAGGACCAAGGGCCGCAGGAGCCAAAGGATCTCCCAAAACCATACAGACCCCGGTAACCCAGGGAGGAGCCCCCACAGGAGCCCAGACCCCCATAGCCCAGGGAGGAGCCCCCATAGCCCCACAGGCCCCCATAGCCCAGGGATCCGTAACCCCCATAGCCCAGGGATCCGTAACCCCCATAGCCCAGGGACCCGTAGCCTCCACTGCCCAGGGAGGCCCCGGAGGCTGCAAGGACGGGAGCTCCAGCAGATCCCACCACGGAATCCTGCGGGAAGGAGCTGAGGATGGGCCCGGGGAAGGTGACCACCACGGCGGGAGGCTGGATCACGGTGGTGGAGTCGGGGCACTGGCGGACGCACGGCTCGTTCCCGCTGTCAGCCAGGGGCTGGGGCCGGAGGACGCCGGAGCCACCGATGAGGCCGGAGCCACCAAAGAGGCCAGAGCCGCCGATGAGGCCGGAGCCACCCATGGAGCACAGGTCGTAGCAGGACATCTTGCAGGGATGGAGGTTAAGCTGTGGGAAGTGTTAATTTGTGTTAATTTGAAAAGGAATAGCAAACTTTAGGCTGTGCTGAAGCAGTCCAAGGGTATCAGTTATAAATCTGGGAAGTAAATTTATTTCCTTGTCTTCTTTTTTCCTGTGGCTGTGATCGCCAGGCTACTTTTGACTTCAGTGCAACACAGTCTGTACTCTTCAGTTGTATCTTTGAATTTCCAGACCAGATAATTTCATCAGTATTACATTACTCTCAGTTGATGATTTCTACTCAGATTTTATCTTTCCTGTTACAAACTCAGCAAAACTCTGAGTTTTGTGGCTACCAAATGTAGCCACATATACAGGTTATTCTTTATCTCCTAAAATACAGCCAAGGAACCCTTTGGAGTGCTAAAATAATACAAGTTTGGGGTTCAGTACCACTCAGTGACTCTCTGTCTTAAAAGACATAGAGATAAATGAGAAATTAAACACCAAATATCCTACAGAGCAGCAGCAGCCTGACCCCAACCAGATTTCTTGACCGAAAGTTCAGTTTAGAGAAGTTTGAGACAGAAGTGTCTTACCTGGTTCACGAAGGCTGAACAGGTGAGAGAAGTGGATGGAAGGACCTGGTGCAGGCACCTTTTATACAGCTCCCTGCTTGCCCACAGGGCACTGGGCACCTGATGCACCAGCTCATAATTAGGTCCCAGCCCCAAATTGCAGGCCACATAATTCCCCAAAGTGCTGAAATTGTCTTTGCTCATTGCTGGTGCACTCCAAACCCACACATAGCGTGAGCTGCACATTCCACCCCAGACCTCTATTGTCTCCGGGCTTTATGCGGGGAATTATTTTTTGTGATCCCATTGCTTTCCTTAGCGTTGGGGGAGGAAATAAAGCTGACTTGATTTATTTATGAATGCCTCATAATTAGGATGACTGAAGGACACTCATGGTTTTCTCCAGGCAAAGGTCCCTGAGTGAGATCAACTGGAGACACGGAGACAATGGAGTTTCTTTTAGGGACTCAGATGAGGACTGGGGACAAATAACAAAGGGAAAAACACTGGTTCTGCAGGCTCAGCATTTCTCCCTCCACCCACTCAAGGCAAGGCAAACACGACAGTCAGGAGCATCTTTGAATGGACTTTATACCATAAAATGCTATCATGGAATGGTTTGGGTTGAAAAAGACCTTCAAGATCATCCAGGGACACTGTCCATAGACCAGGGTGCTCCATCCTGGCCTTGGACACTTCCAGGGATGGGGAATCCATGGAATATCCTGCGCCAGGGTCTCCCCACCCTCACTGGGAACAACTCCCACCCAACATCCCATCTAAACCTCCTCTCTGTCAGTTTTAATCCAATCCCTCTTTTCCTGCCAATTCAACCCTTAGAAGAAATCTCTCCCCGTGTTCTTTTTTAAACTCTCCTGTGGTTCTCTTTCAGTCCCTGGAAACAGAGAAATATTTCACCTGGCAGCCACAATTCCATGGAAATTGAGTTTTCTGAGTTGTTTCATCGAGCTTTCCTTTCCTTTCCTTCCTCATGTTTTCCCCTCCTATTTTTACATGTTAGAGACACAACATTCTGTGTATTAAATAAAAAAGAAAAATAATTTTATTCTTAAGGTCAAAGACAGGAAGGTCAGTGTTATAAACCAAGAGCTGATTATGGGAAAAACTCAAGTGGCCTCAATTTATGCATTTTAATGAGATAATCTTATAATTGTGGGGTGTTTACACCCAGGCGCAGATTTTATATAACTCTGACACAGTAGGAATAAGTCAGTAATGGGTGTTCAAGAGGTGCTTGAAAATCCCTTGGAATGTTCTTGTAAAACTTCAATGTGACTTTTTTTTTCCAGGATAATGGCTCAGGAACTCCCCATGTCTATCTTCAGATTTGAAAAAGCTCATAATTTATAAATAATACACGGTGTGAAGATAACCATGTGGGTGATTATGATAACGATGATAATGATAGAGTAGGACGATCGTGGTGTAAACAGAGAGAGAAACCTCAGCAAATCTAACATTTGCTTTTCCCAGCAGATTTCCAGCTCGTAATTACTCTGTGCTGAAAGACACAACAAGGATGGCATTAGGTGCAAGATCCTCTCTAAAAACAAAGGGTTTCCACTACAGCTAAATTTGGGATTTCTCCTATATAGAATCATGAAATGGTTTAAAATTGGCAGGGACCTCAAAGACCCTCTTGTTCCAACCCCTGCCATGGGCAGGACAGCTTCGACAGTCCCAGGCTGATCCAAACCAGCCTTGAACACTTCCAGAGATGGAACCATCTCAATAAAACATAAATTTCATTATTAATTCAATGTACACTCTGATTATTTTGAGCTTTCTGCTCTAATCCTTAAAATCATAAATATCTCTCCCTTCAGAACTAAACTCAGGTTTAAACTGTGGCTTAAGGGTTGGAAAAAACATAAGACTGTTCTGGATATTTGTGTCCCCAAACCATTCTAAGAGTTCCATAATTTCTGTAAATGTCTGGGCATAATTGTCTTATAAGACAGGACAAAAATATTTGCGTGTAAATGGCTCAGCACACGGTGTCACCCCAAAAAACTGACACAAATTCATGAATCATGTTTTAGGATGAAAGATGCACCAGTTTCATCCATCAGCGTTCCGGCTCAAAGGACCTCGTGTGACGTAAGGCAACATTTGAGATCAAGAATAAACACAAAGAGCGGCAATTTCGTCACTTTGAGGAGCAATCAATACAAAGAAATGTTCTGTGTCAACTAATGAGCTCCTCTGAGCCCTGAGGCAAGTCTGAACTGTATAAAAGCCGTCTCCACTTGGGGTTGTCCCAAACGTCTTCCCTTCACTCGTTCTTCTCAACGACTTGGTAAGTCTGGAGCTGCTCTTTGCTGCTTCTGGAATTGCTCTTTGCTGCTTTTGGAATCTCTCTTTGCTGTACGATTCATCCGGGGTGCTCTCTTCCACTGGGAACTCGTAGGCAAAATTTTAGGTGATGAGATAAACCTTGCAAAAACTTTACGGAAGGCTGCTCTCTGCTCTCGGGGCTAGAGCTCTGTTCCAAACCAAACCGAAAATTCCTTATCAGAAAATTCTGTTGGATATTGGGTTGCCTTCACCAGTTGTATCTATAATGTGAAAGGTTCAGTGTTTATTCCTATCCTCTGTTTGGCTAAATGGGTGACTGGGAATTATCTGGAAAGTTTAAATCTTCCTGGTTCACAGGGAAATGTTGAGTTTGGAGGCAAACCTGCCATTAGATGCAGTTTGTTCTATTCCAAATCAACTGAAATGCTTTTAATTCAAGATAAATGGGCATGAACACCCTGGCTTGGAGTAGGACACAGAGAATAATTGAGAACTGTTTAAAATGCTCTGTATTAGATTTATTTAAGATTAAAAGGGATCCTGAAGGGAACTTAAGGAGCTGAAACGTGGAGCACTGGGTTTTTCCAGGTTAATGAGGGCAAGTGGTTTGGTGTGAGAATTTTTCAATAGTTTGTGGCTCAAAATCAAAATTCTGTGATGTTAAGCTCATTGTAGGGCTCTCAAAGCCCTGATTCAATGTTTGGAAATTTGGGACAATCATCTTTGCGATTCCCTTGTAATGGTCTCATCCAAGAAGCTACCGAGCAAATCTGAACAGACAATGAGTTATAATCCCTGTTTAGACAAGGATCAGCACAAAGGAGATCAGTGGGAATGAGGAGCCAGAGTCATGAAATCCTGAATAACAACACACTCTACTCCTAGAGTGGAGTCCCACTCCTTGTTGATCCCCTGACTCACCAAAGTGCCCCAGCAAATCATTTTTGTTCTTACAATTTAAGAACAAATAATTGTTCTTATCCAATTTTCATCTTTAAGAGACATGGGGAAATTCCAGCGCTTCAAAGCTCTCCTGCCTGGGGAAAAGCAGTCAGCTCCAGAGGCTTTTTCTCTTTGTAAATAACATCTTGTAGTTGCTACAATCAACTCTTGCAGATTAACCTCCATCCCTGCAAGATGTCCTGTAGCCACAAAACTCAGAGTTTTGCTGAGTTTGTAACAGGAAAGATAAAATCTGAGTAGAAATCATCAACTGAGAGTAATGTAATACTGATGAAATTATCTGGTCTGGAAATTCAAAGATACAACTGAAGAGTACAGACTGTGTTGCACTGAAGTCAAAAGTAGCCTGGCGATCACAGCCACAGGAAAAAAGAAGACAAGGAAATAAATTTACTTCCCAGATTTATAACTGATACCCTTGGACTGCTTCAGCACAGCCTAAAGTTTGCTATTCCTTTTCAAATTAACACAAATTAACACTTCCCACAGCTTAACCTCCATCCCTGCAAGATGTCCTGCTACGACCTGTGCTCCATGGGTGGCTCCGGCCTCATCGGTGGCTCCGGCCTCTTTGGTGGCTCCGGCCTCATCGGTGGCTCCGGCGTCCTCCGGCCCCAGCCCCTGGCTGACAGCGGGAACGAGCCGTGCGTCCGCCAGTGCCCCGACTCCACCACCGTGATCCAGCCTCCCGCCGTGGTGGTCACCTTCCCCGGGCCCATCCTCAGCTCCTTCCCGCAGGATTCCGTGGTGGGATCTGCTGGAGCTCCCGTCCTTGCAGCCTCCGGGGCCTCCCTGGGCAGTGGAGGCTACGGGTCCCTGGGCTATGGGGGTTACGGATCCCTGGGCTATGGGGGTTACGGATCCCTGGGCTATGGGGGCCTGTGGGGCTATGGGGGCTCCTCCCTGGGCTATGGGGGTCTGGGCTCCTGTGGGGGCTCCTCCCTGGGTTACCGGGGTCTGTATGGTTTTGGGAGATCCTTTGGCTCCTGCGGCCCTTGGTCCTCCCGCTTCGGCCGCTACCGCCGCGGCAGCTGCGGCTCCTGCTAAACCCGAGGGGAAAATCCCTCGACTCGGCAAACAACACCAGTGGATCCTCACCTGAGCTCCTGAGGAAGGGGCTGAGATTCAGAACTTCACTTCAGATCATGGAGACAGAACCCCTCTAGA